ACTAGACTGTAAAAGAAGAATCCAATTCCATAAATAATAGACATTTTCAAAGATTAGGATTCAGAATAAATTCCAGTTGCTTCTATTGTGATCCACTCTTGTTCACAAATAATAAAGATGAGATCCTGTTTTTAGTGACAAACCCAGATGTGGGTTATGTAGATTAAATTCAGAAATCAATTCATTCCACAAAGTACTTATATAGATGAACAACTTCTTTCTGTTTAAGTGTCTTGTGAATTCAGAAAGCTTGAAAAGTAACTAAGAATTAATGGATGAAAGTTACTTGGAAAAAATAAAAAATATATCCTGCAAGTAATCAACATTTGGTTGATTTTGCAAAAGAGACAAGAGAGAAATTCTTAGAATCAATAGCAAAAGAATATATATAGGTACTTCCAAAGAAAATATATATTGCCATCTCTAAAGAAAAGCAGTACATATGAATTTTTAAAAATGAAAAATCTTTCTTGAAGCTTTTATTTAGTTTTAATTTCAAGCTAATAGATTAAATTTAATATTTCCAATAAGCAAAAATATTTTGCTGTATTTCAAAATGAATTTAAATTGATTGGAATGATTTTTATTTTATTGCTAAAAATTGGATTTTAGTCATGTATACAATTCTGTCAGCACAGTGTAATTCTCTTTATTAAAAAAATCTTTCCAAAACAAAATATAATTTTCTAAAATTTTATTTAAGGAAGATTAGCTGATTTAAAGTTTAATCAATCTGATTTGAAACAAATATTACTTACTTTTAGTTTAAAATATTGCATAAAAGCATTTTTAACACTAAGGTAGGTGTATTTTTGAGTTGTTGGCAGCTCTATTAACAACCTGATATTTGAGAAATTTAATTAATTTTTTTCTACAGGGGACATACCCATAAAAATTACTTTATGGATATAATTGGAAGTGCCTTTTTTTATATAATTTTTAAATACCCAGTAATCTTAAATTCATTATAGTTACCAGTCTTATTTTCTGATAATGTCATGTATGTATGTCCATAATTACAAAAAATTGGCATGTTTATACACACACATACACACAAAGAAAAAAATTCAAAATTCTTTTTAAAATACTGGGGGTCACTGAATTGTAGTAGCTTTTCCATTTATGATTAGTAAATATAGTTTTTACTTAATAACAATATCACTTAAGTTCTACAAATTAATACAAATTTTAAAATATTTAAAACTTTATACAGTATTCTAATTAAAATTTTTAAAAAGATTAAAACAATTCTTGTAAAAATCCACTCTTCATTGAAAAAATTTTCTTTCTTAACATAATAGTATCCATAATATATCTTATTCATGAAAACAATTAAAAGCTTTTCTAATTGAATAATGTCTTAGTCTTATTGAATTTTTATTTTACAATTCAGAGTAGATTTTCAGTAACTCGGGGTCCTGTTTCAGAAAAAAACAGAAATGTGATTCTACAGAAGAATGCTAACAATACCATGGACTAAACATGTGAGCAACAACAAAGTTTTTGAGAAAATGTAAATTAAAAGGATACTTATATGTAACATCAAGAAAAGATAATTAAAATTTCTAGGGCACATGAGAAAAGAGTACTGGAAAATCTGATACTCACAGGCAGACTGAAGGCAAGAGAAACAGAGGAAAATAATGCATAACCTACTTGGCAAACTTAAGTAAATGGATGGTGGAACAAGGTATAGGAAAGATAGCAAAAAGACAAATTTTATTAAGAGCTACAAAGACAGGAAATTGTGGAGAGCCATGATTGACAATGTCCTGAAGAGAGATGGTCCATAGAAGAAGAATATTAAGGATAAAAATAATACTACTTGTAACATCAATATTTGATTAACAATTGGAAAAGAGCATTTTACATTTTCATGTTTTTTTCGGGTCATTAACTTAATGTTTCAAGGCTAATGTAAAAAAAAATAACTTAATAAACTCTACTAATGTTTAAGAATCAAATATTAATTAGAAACAAGTATATTTTTAAAATTATATTTAATACTAGCAGTAGAGCCTGGCGTTGCCCGGGGATGTAACAGTAAGAGATAGATCAAGTATCGACCATCATAAAGACTGAAAAATAAAATTGACAAAGATTATTGTTTAAGGTTGATGGACACGCATGTCTTAATTAGTTTTTTTTTTTTTACAAATTGATCAAACCCAAACTCAAACAAAAACGTTGTTTTCTATCGTTATGAGTCTACTGATTGAATAGAATTTTATTATAAACAATTGTCTTGTAAATGGAATTTTTAAAGCATTCTGAATGTAAAAATAAAGAAAAAAGTGTGCAAGACAATAAGAAACACTACCTGCCAAAAAGAAGTGAAGTTTTGTTGAAATTGGTTGAAAAATGTAGGAAATCCGATCCCATATATAAATGAACACAGACACACATACACAAACAACCTGGGTTATATAATAAGTATAAATCGATATGAGTTGTCCCCCTTTTATTCTCATGATGCCTCTTAATCATGTTTTCAAATTGATTTCATGCAAAAACAATTGTGTTTTTCTAATTTTTGGCGCTGTCAGAACCACTGCAAGGTAATTTTACGTAGTCCTATGAAGTTTTGTTGAAATCGGTTGAAAAATGTAGGAAATCTGATCCAATATATAAATGAACAGACACACACACAACCTGGGTTTTATAATAAGTATGATTTGTGGTTTAAAATTGTTTGATGGACTTGACAATTAGGACAAGAGAAGTCATTTTACCCTTTAGAAATTAGTAGGTCGATGAAAGCCATGATCAAATGCTGAGGGAATGCAAAGCCAAAAAGGTATACAGCAGTAAGTGTACAGCCAGGAGTTGAGATCATTTGGTTATATGCTTGGATCAAATGACCACTACTGACTAAGAGATAACTTATTCAATCAGAATTTGTTTAAATTAATTTTTGAGTGTCCCAAATGCAAATCTTAACAATAACATGCACACAAAACCATTATTACCCAACACTACAAGAAAAAGCATCATTATTATGAAAAATATATAAATATCTCAATAAAAGGAATATATGTAGGAAATATTCTTGATATATACATCAATCTCCAAACATGCTTTTTCTGGCTACACATAGATTACATGAAAAAAAAACAAACAAACACTCTAAACTAATACTTTACACCTGCTACATCAACAATATATTTATATATTTACTTATATTAACTACAAAGCAGAAAATTAATTTCACTTAATATGAACTCAGTACCAATAAAAGAATTCCCTTGTTAGATGTACTAATTCAAATAATAAGAACTTTAAAACCTCAATCTATAAAAATAAAACAAGTTTAAATCCATGCCTACTCAAATACAATTGCAAATATCCACACAGATACAAAATAGCTGTCATGAATAATTTAATAAATAGAGTACACTTAATATCCTTTACACACACAACATTCTATAATGAACTCAAAACTGTAAAGCAAACTTTAATTAACAAAAATTTTCCTTAACTGTATAATAAACAAAATACTAAATATATTTCACAACTAATAATAAAAACCAAAACATATATAAAATACATCACAAACTGATTTGTGCAGACACAATAGTTGAAAACAAAACAACATGACAACCACCAATGTGTGAAGACAAGCTACTGAAAAAACAACCAAAGAAAAGACACAGGCACAACCCACAAAAAGCACAAAAATAAAAAAAATATCTTTAATGATAGCTTATGAAAGGCTGAAAGTTCTTAGATGACATTGGACAATTTATTTTCAAATTTTTACTGGAAATCAGAAAAATGTTTTGAACTGTAGGAAAATTAAATAAAGAAAAGTTTAAACAAGGAACTTGTTGGTCTTCAACCAAACTGCTACCCAATTACACACACACACACACACACACACACACACACACAGAGTTGTGCTGAAAGGTTCTTATCCCAATTCAGAAGTCCTTCCAGAAAAGATTTTTATCTTAGTTCACTTGGTTGGATTTTGGGACATGATCAGGTCAAGAACTTTTCTGCAATCCTTCATATATTTCTCTGGACAAAATATCATTCATCCATCACTGTTTCCATGAGGCAAAGTAAAAATGGGTATTTCACTAAGTTTAGTGGATTGTGATTAAATTTCACAAATGAATTGATGAGGTAACTGTCTTTGAAAGCTTCAACAATAAAACAGAAAATAAAATGCTTTTGCAGATTGATGATGGTTAACTACAATTACCAAATAATATAAAGTACTAACTACTATGAGCAGCATTAACAACATTTATTTTTGAATGCTGATTAAGTGATACTAGAAAGTATGAAGATGTTCTTACTGGAGAACAATGGCTATGAAAATAGAATTTAAGCTAATCACAATGAATTTGTTCAATGGTTGATCTATGAATATGGTTTTGTCCCAAAGTTGGTAGTGCCCAATAAGCATTTATAAGCAAGAAAAACCATTTGAAGCTTACATCTACTGTCCCTTGGAATTTTGCTGAGTTCTAAATTGTATATACAAATACATTGAACAATCTAATTCATAAAGGCAGTATCTGGTTCATTGTATTAAAGGTCTGAAGAAGGCATATTGATAATAAAAGAAGTGAAAAGGTTACTCACTTATTCTCACTTTTATGATGGCTGGAGCCAATCAGAAACAAATTCAATGTTTAAAAAGATAACTAATGATGACAAAGAATGTTGACAAAGGAAAAAAATGAATAAAATAACAATTTCAAGAAATGCTAAGGACAAAAGTTAAGAAAAATGAAAGAAAATAAATATAAAATTCTGAACAACAAATGTGTCAGTCTTCACAGTGACTGATGTTTCAGTTATTTTTCTATAAAATGATGCTTAGAGCCTTATATGTTCATCATCTATTAAGTTTATTATTACATATTTGTGCAAGTGTGATTTGTTAGTATATATTTTTCATAAAAATATCAGCATTAACATTCATTTCACTCTTTTCCAATGGAGGTAATCCACAGTTTTTGTCAGGTCCAATATGTCCATATATGCAGCTAGAATAGATCCAGTCCTGCACTTACTGGCAAAGTGATTATTTCCATGTCTTCTCTTCCACAAGTTTCTCTACAATGAACAGAAAATGAGACACCAAACAGAGGCTTAGACAGACCAGTATTAACACCTGTAGCCTTGGACCATGGAAAAATATGATTCACACTCTCAATTCTAAAAGGAATGAAGCATGACTCATCAAACAACAGCCCAGAAGCAGGGGAGAGGGAGAGGGAGAGAGAGAGAGAGAAGAAAAAATGGCTAAAAATGGCTAAAAAAAGATAAATAGTAACAGGGTGAATTGGAGAAAATGGAAGAAAGAGAAGAGATGAAAAAGGAAAAGAAAATGCTGAAAAAGAGAAAGAGTAAATGAAAGAGATTGGAGTGAATATTGAGAATACAGATTGGGAAAGATGAAAAGATAGAAGGAAAGTAAGAAGAAATGGAGAAATAGAAGAGGCAAGAATTCTCAGAAATATGGAAGGAAAGAGAGAAAAAGAAAAATGTAAAAACAGTTGAGTAAACAAGATAAAAGATGAAGGTGGAAAAAAGAGATTTTATGTGAGAAGCCAGTTAACTGCATTTTTTTAATGAAATGACAAAAATTTTTAGTAAAAAATTAGAATGATATTTGCCAACATACAGCAATATTGTGCTTAAATGGGAATCCAATAATTTTAATTTGACAGTAATCGCCATCACTATAAAACATTTTTTTCAGTGTTATACTTTATTATTAAAAAAACCATGAAAATTTACAATACTAAAGACCATAATATTTCAAGATATAGGAAATTTATTTAAACAATTCCACTCAGTTTTCTTGTTTAGAAATCATATTTCAAGAAGTAACTTCTGATCATCTTCAGTTTCTGTTTAGTTTCAATCTAAAAGTATCTGGAATAAAAATATTAATCAGGAAAAATCTTTGATATATTTGCTTACTTTAAAAATACTATTTTAAAAAATAGAGTGTATAAAAACTTAGCAAATCAAGTTGTCACAAATAAATTACAATTATATTTTCAATCACTTTAATAGTAAGGGAATTCAACTAAAACAAACTTTCAGATATAATTTCCCATGACGGTGTACATGTATCTGCATGCATATATCTATATTAAGCAATATAAGTATATTTTGAGTGTTTGCCAATGAAGAAAAAAGGGAAAATTAATCACCACAATCCAAGTTACTTATGTTTTTTAAAAATAAGGAAAATGCCTAATAATCCTGTTTTTATCAAAAATGAATGAAGCACATTTTTCCTAATATTTTACATGTACATGTATATAGTCACCCAGCACTGAGAAAATCAAATGGTTTTCTATTATTTACAGATAACATAATTTATCAAATTCATATTTAAAAACCAGAGAGAAAGAATGAATGTAGAAAAAAAGTATAAAAGTGTATTCTTAAAAGGCATTATTAAAATGCTGTATTATAATGTTTATCTGGGATCTATTTGGTTTATATCAGTCCGTATTTCATAACTTTCAAAACAGATATGCTGAAAATGTCTAAACTACATTTAAAATAATTTTTAAAAAAGGATCATATGCTCTAAATAAAGCCAAAAAATGGTTTTAACAGTTTTATTAACTAAGAGGAAGTAATATTTTTAAATTACTATTTTGTAAGTTAAATTTGTAATATTAAATAAAATCGATTAAAAAAAATGAAAATAATAAAAGATGTAATTATGCAGTCTTGTAAAGCTTTCAGTCCTTGTCAAGTAATAATTAAATTCTCCAACAATCTTAAACTGTTGAAATGGCAATAAAGAAAACAAATAATTAAAAGAAAAATCAACAAATAAATGACAGTTGTAACCAAGAAGAACAGAGTCAATAAAGTATGTGAAGAGAGCCATTGCCTGCGTAAAAATTTCAGACAGACAGAGAGGAAAAAGAGAAGGAAAAGTTATTAAAAAGAGGGTAATTGGTAGGGTCATGAATGGGGAAGAGAGATGCTGCAACCAATGCACGCTTCTGATAGATTGCAGGACAGTGAACAGACAATCAATAAGAAAATTGTGTAGAATAGATACTGGATGCAAAGATGTCAGCTGACTATATGAGTCATAATGGTGGTGTTTACTAGTTACACTACTGCAAGTTACTAATTCAGATGGACAGTATTAGAGATAAGCAAAATTAAGAGAAGCAATTTTGTTCCTTTTTTTCACAAGCAGAAAGTGTATTTTTTATATTTGAGAAGTCTTCAACTAAAATAAAATCTCTTATCATAGATATAGTAATCAAGTTATCTTGTTAGTGGACATCAGAGCTCAAAGGTCACTTAAAATGATAAATTATGACTGGTTACTGACTGAAAGAAGATGATGTTTGATTGGCAAGTTATTAAAAGAAAATGCATCCTGATTGGCTGTGTAATGTTTCATTACATTAATGATATTCAGCACAGTTTAGGGTTGATAACAACCTTAAAATTGATTATTATACTCAACTTCAAGTTATTGCTTCAAAATAAGAAAAACATTTTTAGTCTACACATATCAATGCAGATAAATAAAATAAAGTTTATTTCATCAACAGGATGTTTATATTCTCATAGTATAATTATCAGCATTCAACTAAAATCATAAACTGTGAACTTACAAATCATTTAATCATTTTAAATAACATAATATAGAAATTGGTTGTGAGAGAAGAATTCTTGAAATTATACTAAAAATTCATTGAAATTGATTGACTTTATATTAAACATACTTGTAATAGGCTAGCCTACAGCATAAACAAAATAGTGATATAACTTATAATAAGTATTATATATATATATATATATATATATATATATATATATATATATATATATGAACAGAGAGAGGTGAATTTTATATGTATGTATCTATAGTAATAAAGAATCATATCACTTTGACTAGACAATTGATTAATCAGGAAGATTTATACAAAAGAAAAATTTTTTATTAATCTTCACACAAAAACAGATTTCATTTATTTTCATGTGAGAAGGAAATTTAGATGGCAAAACTCTTGATTAAGTAAACGCACTCTCTCTCTCTCTCTCTCTCTCTCTCTCTCTCTCACACACACACACACATACACACTTGTGCACATGAGTGGGTGTTGAAAAGTTCTTATCCATTTCACCAAATATCAAATTTTTATAGAAAACGAATGCTTATTATATATATATATATATATATATATATATATATATGTCTGTGTGTGTGTGTGGAGACATAGAAACAACACTGTACAGTGACTGTTAGTTTTAAACCTGAAGTGACATAATATTAAGACACACACACACATATATCAATTAGTTTCAAATGTATTGACAATAAGTAAAATTGCTAAGAGAAACATTCAACATAACTTTCTACTTCTTTGTCTCTTTTTCTTCTTTTTTTTTTAAAATCCTTTTTCACACTAACCTGGCCATTAGCCAAGATCTAAGTGAAAATTGCAAACACACTAGACCTAAAGAAAAACAACCAAAATATATGAAAAAGAAATCAAACCAGTTTGCAGTAAAAACATTTCAGATTGAACACTTCCAATAATCAATAAACCATTTTCAAATCCACAAATGGTTAATCCCAGCAAAAGAACAATAATGTATATGTTTCTGTACAGATGCATTACTTATTACATATATATCTGTGTGTGTATATGCATATGTAATGTGTGTATGTTTGTATTGACAGTATGCATTTATATAGTGCTCATCTGACAAGCGACAATGTTATGACCAGGGACATGTGACAACATTGACACTATCTTGTAACAACATCAGTATAAGAATTATATATATATAATTATTTATATAGGTAAACCAATCCTAGTTGAATAGTTTCATGAGTCTCAATTTCTTCTGAACAAGATTGATATCAGGCCACATGTGCATTGTCATCCTAGGGAAATAATAGTGTGTGTGCAATGTGGGGAAATAAGTGGAGGCAGTGAGAGGGTATGAGAGGTGAGAATGGGCAACATTCTGCTAAGAAACTCTGGGTCCTATTATTTATGTGGAAGGAGCTCTGTTACACATTCCTGACCTACTACACTTCTTATACCAATATATCTCTGGCCTAGTTGTAGTTGTTATGAGACAGTAGATGTTGTTCTTATGACATATCACTGATCACAATATTTTGCTTCATTAGTGAATATGAAAAACACACATTCCCTTATTATATATTTAAGGTATATATATATATATATATATATATATAAAATGAAGCATGTATTATTGGAGAATGGAACTTTTTTGTTTAATAATCTTCTTTTCAATTTCTTCTTGCTTTTTCACAAGTTTCTTTGTATTTGGGTCTAAGTTGTTGAAAAAAAAACAGTCTTTGGTGTGTTGCCAAATGCTTTCAGTTGTCATCAACTGTCATCATGGCTGTATGGTTTTGGTTTTAAGTAGGTTGATTTTGATTTTTATAGGTAATATTTTTGGGCATTCAGGCCATATTATTGGATGAATTCATTATCAATTTAAGAGGGGTTTAGTATTTATTATTTGGAGGATTAGTTATTAAATATATTTAAGATGTTTGTGCCAGTATTAAATCCTATTTTATTTATGTTGGGGTTTTGGTTTTTATTGTGATGGCTTTGAGAATTTGTAAGCATTTTTTGCATTTGTTTTTGTAGATGATTTTGATATTGTTGATTTGAATTTTTCTTATTTCAGAGGATTTGAATCTGTTATTAGTGATACAGTGTGTTGTTATAAGATGATTTTTTATGGCACTGGTGGCATTAAGATGGTATGTGAGATGACATGAGAAAGTTGTAGTTGTATGTCCAATGTATGCACTACAGTTATTATGTGAGAAACACTCTCAAAATGGGTATGTAAACCTGTATACTACATTGGTTCTATTGAGGAACAGTTTGTGGGGAGTAGTATTATCTCTAATAATTAGGATTGAGGTTTTAAATTTGATGTACTATATTATTAGTTTAATTTGTTTGTGTTGTTGGACAGGTTTAATGTATCTGTGGATGGTGTTAGTTATTGCTAGTTTATCAAGTTTGTAGTTAATGTGCATTTGAGTCTTATAGAATAGGTTATTAGTGTTATTATTGTCTGTTTTTTTTGTTATTATTATGGATATTTGAAAGGTAGTGTTTTATATGTTGGTCAACTAATTTATTGGGGAAATTGTTGTTTATAAGTGTTTTATATTAGTAAGTTCTTTATAAAACATTGTTTTAGATGAGGAGATACAAAAAGCTCAATTGATTAAGTTTTTGATTAGGACTATTTTATATTTATATGGACATTTGCTATGGAAGTTGAGCAGGCAGGAGTTTTTATGTGGTGGCTTTTTAAATATTGATGTATTAAATGTGTCTTTGTTATTGGAGTTGATGAGTACATCAAGAAATGGTATTTTATTGTTGATATTTAGTTCGACTGTGAATGAATTAATCCAACAACAGGACCTGAATGCCCAAAAATATTACCTATAAAAATAAAAAACAATCTACTTAAAAACAAAAACATACAGCCATGATGATGGTTGATGACAACTGAAAGCATTTGGCAACACAAAAATGACTGGGGTCTTTTTTCAATAACTAATCTAAATACAAAGAAACTTGCAAGAAAGCAAGAAAAAATCAAAAGGAAGATTATTAAACAAAATAGTTCTGTAGTTTTCAATAACACATGCCTCAATAATGATATGCTGAAAATATATATATACATACATACACACACACACACATATATATATATATATATATATATATGTATATACATGTATATATATTGTGTATTTAGGTAGAAATCTTTCATTCATGCATAATTACAGTTAAGCTTTTTATTTAATTTTTCTTGTGTTCACACACGAGCTTTCTTTTTTGGACACAGAGTGTGTAGAAACTGTCCAAATGTTTTATAGTTCTGAGCGCTTTTAGCTATACTTTTACCTATTACTAGCAGTAGAGCCCGGCGTTGCCTGGGGATGTAACAGTAAGAGATAGATCAAGTATCGACCATCATAAAGACTGAAAAATAAAATTGACAAAGATTATTGTTTAAGGTTGATGGACACGCATGTCTTAATTAGTTTTTTTTTTTTTACGAATTGGTCAAACCCAAACTCAAACAAAAACGTTGTTTTCAATTGTTATGAGTCTACTGATTGAATAGAATTTTATTATAAACAATTGTCTTGTAAATGGAATTTTTAAAGCATTCTGAATGTAAAAATAAAGAAAAAAATGTGCAAGACAATAAGAAACACTATCTGCCAAAAAAAAGTGAAGTTTTGTTGAAATCGGATGAAAAATATAGGAAATCCGATCCCATATATAAATGAACACAGACACACATACACAAACAACCTGGGTTATATAATAAGTATAAATCGATATGAGTTGTCCCTCTTTTATTCTCGTGATGCCTCTTAATCATGTTTTCAAATTGATTTCATGCAAAAACAATTGTGATTTTCCAATTTTTGGCACTGTCAGAACCACTGCAAGGTAATTTTACTTAGTCCTGTGTAGTTTTGTTGAAATCGGTTGAAAAATGTAGGAAATCCAATCCAATATATAAATGAACAGACACACACACAACCTGGGTTTTATAATAAGTATGATCAAGGATGATTTTATCTTTTGGTGATAGTGAACATACAGTCAAAGATTACATAAATATTTTCTACAAAAACCAAATGCACATTAACTACAAACAAGACAAATCTTCACTTAGAAATATTATAAAGACACACACTATCCCAATCGACCCAAATAAAAAAAATCAAATTAATTATCTACTACAAAAATTTAAGACCACTAACCTCATCCTCAAAAACAACAACACACTGGCTAAGTCAAAATTACAATCAACAAACATTATCTATGAGTTCAAATGCCACTTAAGGAAGTGTGTTCCTAATAAAACCAAACTCATAAATAATTACATCAGTCACACAACTACATCCAAACACCTTACCTTACACCTATCTGACCACAGCTCCATTAGAACCCATTTAAACACACACGGATTCAAGGACACATGGCACAGTGGATAAAGGCATGGATCTAACTAACACCAGTGCATATAGGCGTTAGTTAGACCCAGTGACAGGACCCAAAGAGTGTGAGTTCAATACCCAATTAAGGCAGTGGAGAACTTGGAGAGGGGAATTAACAGGAGATAACTGACAACTGACATCCATTAAACATGGCACGTGGAACTAGAAGAGTGAAATAAAGTGAATGAAATAAAGGGTTCAGTTCAACATTCCAACCACCTGAAGAAGGGAGGAGCATACAACAGCCAAAACGTAATAAATATGGTGACAAAGATGAGGACAATAGTCCGAATAATGTAAATAGTGTTCAGTGTTTATGTATTATGATGTGATTGTGTCTGTCTTGTCATTTGTAAAACTTCTTCTGTTTGAATCTCCTTAGTGTTTGCTCTAACTGAAAATTTGGCTTTTTGATTAAAGCAATAAATAAATAAAAAAATATATGTATATTTTCCTCCATTCCTTCTTCAAATACTTTTAAAATATTTTAAAGTTAATGCAGGCTAAATTTAAAATTTGTAATTTTCATTTTTTAACTTTATCGTAAAATTAAAAATTAATCAGAATGATTTCTAATTTAGTCTAACATTAACATTAAGGTATTAATAAACTGTATCTAAGGATCATTGTCAAGTTTTTTGAATTATCATATACTTGTATTTTGATTGGTCATTGTAGCTTACATAACAATGTTTCCCCTATTGAGGGGAGTTTGGTTCATTTTGAACTTTTTAAAACTCTTTATCCTGCAATCAACACCATCACTTGACAAGACAACAGAAGTGTTGAAACAAAATGGCTATTTTTGTAATTATGTTATAACATGTTTGTTATATATATATATATATATATGGATGCAGGTAAGTAGTTTTTACAAAGCCAATCTGTGTAAATAAAATAAATGCCTGTCACACACATACACACATTTGATTTTTTTAATTTGCTATAAGATGTGCCAGGTAAAAACTGATTAATAATTTGGCTCACTGCTGAAGCCTTCATCTCGGTAAATGAAGTGCTGGTATCAAATAGACATTGATTTTAAAACTTATGTAAATTACTAAAACACAGTCAGCTGAAAAATTGAGCAATTTTAAATTAGATGATAAATCCGAGTGATAGTGACAATGAGCTATAAGTTTTTGATAAGTAAAAATATAACAAATCACCCCCCACCCAAAATAAAGAGATGAAAATTAACATTTGATGATACAATTACTTTGAGGTAAGTAAAAATCATTGATAACATTAAGATGATAGAGTAGATGTTAAAGTTAGCATCCAGCCTTACCTGAGAGGGTACTACCACACGGTGTAAAAGTTTGCCATCTTTGCTGTAAAAATGGAGTTCATTCCTGCAGTACAAATTTGGTAGTCTAATGAAACCAGCTACTGCCAAATATTCACCACAGTTCGACCAGTCCATTTTAACACCTGGAAAAATATAAGAATGTTTAAAGTTTAATCTTCTTTTTATTTAAAAAATAAAGCATGCGTAAAGAAAGTATTACCTAACTGAAAAAGCAAAATTTTATGCACCATAGAATTCCATGTATAGAAAATAAGGAAGAAAAAGAAAGAGTAATAGAAAGTGACGTTGAAAATTGATATGGATCACAAACTGGAGTCTGTACTGACATAGCCTGCCTATTTATTATAATGAAAACTATCAGCTTATAAAGCAATTGTTAACATAATGGTATCAAAAGTTACTGAAGTTATATATGTATTTCCTAGTATTCCAAACATTATTATGAGGATACCCATATTTGAGTAGATGTCTTGTTTTTATGACACTGTAAATTACATCTAGCAGCCTCTGCACATTCAAGAGATTTTTTAAAGTAAGATCTGCTCTCCAGTGGTTTTCTTTATTAAGTCTCTCAAATATACATGTCAGTATAAGTAATTTTCACTATTTATAAAACCAAAGCATCTATTCAAATATGGATATCTGCAAAATAATGTTTAGAATAGTAAGAAAATAATGTTTAGAATAGTAAGTAAATAATGTCAGATAAGAAGTTCATTTATTAATTAGAAATGACTTTATTTCTGTTTCAAATATATATATATATATATATATGTATGTGTGTGTGTGTGTGTGAGGGGCGATGAATAGTTCATAGCCTGATAAAAGAATCAGAATTTGGAGGTTGGTTGTTAATCTCTTTTTATTTAGACAAAGAACATTTCAACATTGCCTCATATCTGCATGTGTGTAATGCAGGTCATCAGTTAACATTTCATGAATATGTATCAGAACAAAATAATAAGAGAGAGAAAAAAGACAAATACATTATTTTAAAAATTGATTTTTAAGATATAGTTGAACATAGATCACTTAGTGCTATAATTCTAGTTAAAATATGTAAGCATAAGAAAATTAAAGTTGAGAAATTAATAATAAAATTGTTGAATTCACAAGAATCATTTTAATTATGCTAGATACATTCATATTTAATGTTCATATTAGCAAAGCTAAAATGAATTATTGTTATGGCTTCACATTTCATAATTTATTTAAGCCATAGAAATTTTAAATCTCAAGACTAAAATTAGATAAAAAGTAAAGTCACAATTAAATGATCAAAGCATTGAAAATATATAATAAAAGTTTTATCAAAATGTTTTTGTAATTCTTTCATTAAAGTGTTTGAAATGAATGTCAACTTTCTAGCTGAAATAAATGTGTTACATGTGTGTGTGTGTGTGTATCCTATGACTCACTATAGGGTTGTTGGAAGATCACATATATTGCAGCCACAGCAACAGTGGATGTGTTTAAGACAAGATAGCTTAATAGAGACCATCTATCTTCAGGATGGGTTTGAATTCAGAGTTGTCTTTCTCCTACACTGATTGTCCTACGAAGGCTAAAGGGCCCAGTATGTCTTACCATTTCACTCATAGGTAAGAAGAGATGGATTCCATTTTCCATGACAATTACACTAACTGCACTTCCAAATCAATCTCAGTCATCCCAGAAGACTTAAAACAGCTTCAATAGTTGCATATATTATAAATTCAAGTCCAGTGATATTAATATTAAATTGATACTATTACTATAGAGAGTTTTTGAAGCTGACTGAAAAACTTTTTCTTTAATATTTTTCAATCCAGTAACAGCAGTAAAATAATTTTGTAAGTTTGTTTGCTGGTAACATTAATACACTTCTCTTTGTGGCATCAATCAACAAGTGAAAAGTTGCACCATTCCTTATACAGAAGATTATTTTACTGGCGTTACATTACAAAGATTTGAAAATGAAATAATTAAAAAAAAAAATTATTGAACAATTTTTAAAATATTATAAAACATACCCCCACCCAAATAAACATAGCTGATAATCAAATGAAATGAAAGACAAAAAAGATATGAAGAAAATTATACTAATTTTACTGAAGATCAAAAAAAAAAAAAAAAGGAAAAGCCCAGGAGGAGAAACAAACAACAAAAAAAGAAAAACAGATTGACTACATAATAAGTGGTTCAGGAATTAATTAAATAAGAAGAGTGTGTGTGTGTGTGTGTGTGTGTGTGTGTGTGTGTGTGTGTGTGTGTGTGTGTGTGTGTCTCTTTAATCATAAAGATGCAATTTCTTCATAATTTTGCATTTGATTTATTATTTAGAAATAAATCCAAAAGATATGAGCAATAGAAACATTTTATTAAATGCAACAGCCCACTTACCTTCCAAAGTGACATCCATTATGGCATGTCTACCCCAGTGAGCAAAATAAAGGGTTCACTTTGACATTCCAAGAAGGCCGGAGCATACAATATTGTAATAAATATGGCGACAAAGATGAGGACAATAATCCGAATAATGTAATACCTCATCTCAGAAATATAGATAGTTTTTATTATTTTCCAGACATCTCCTTTGCTTCAATATTGCTTTTCATTGTCATATACATTTCTTTTTAATGATAGACTACAAGTTTTATTTGGATTAATATCTGGAGAGGCTAGAGATCATTCTATTAATTTGCTATTTTTCCAAACTGTTTTTGTAGAATGCAAAAGAGTATTCTTTTGCAGGAAGCTTAATGCTATTTGGTTGTGACTGATATAGCTCAAAAAACACCTTGTCAAAGAACTTGCAATAATTTTCTACATTTATCATGATGCCATCATCAACTTTGAAGGGACATATAATTTTACTGCCTTTGGAGCACCTTAAGGTGGTGTAATGGTTAGCAAACTTGTCTCACGAGAACAATTACGACTAAGTAGTGAGTTCAATCCTCACTGGGTGCCACCTACTTTTAGCCTTGTGCCACATCTAAGCTACGCTTGGAAAATCACTATAATTTTAATGCCTACAATCCTAGCCTAAAATATTACTCCAACTCACTCAAGTCATACTGGTTGACTATTTTCATGAAGGACCCAATATCTATGCCAGCCAGCCAATGTAGTCAGATATTCACCACTAAAAATTACCATTGAAAAATGTTTTTGTATACTTTGTTTCCCAACATAAATGTTTCTGTTTGTGCTATTTATTTAAAGTTTGTTCTCATGTCTTTAGTCAGAGTCCTCAATATTCTGCATCTTTTCTTTCTGTGTATATTCACATCACTGTTTTTTTTTTCCAAATATTTCCTTGCTTCTCTTACCAGTTTTTTTTGCAGATTATCCTTTTAATTTTTTTGAAATCTTTTTTGTTTTTGACATTTTTAAAGCAAGTTTTTCTTTTTTGTTTTTATCTTGCCAATGTTTTTAATTTGTTTTTTTTATTCTATGATCTCTGGTCAAGCTTTTCACAATTTCCAAAACTATGTTTCCCATCATTTTACAATATCTTGGTTCTAGTTTAATGTTATATTTTTCTTATGACCCATGACAATCTTTATATATCTTAAATTAAAAATATATATATATATATATATATATATATATATATATATATATACTATTATATTATAAATTAATTGATTTAAAATATGTTTTTTTTCGCTACACAGTTCTAACCATGTTTCAAAAATAGAAGCTAAAAACCCCGAATTTAATTTTGCAATTAAATTAAAAGCATTAGTTCCATTTCATCTTCAAGCAAAAATATTAATGCTCTGTAAATTTACATTGAGCACTATTTTGTAAAAATAAAATATCTATAAGAACACCGGATTTTATATCTTACTGTTCTTTCTTTTTATTTATATACATATATACTATTATATATATTTATTTAAAATATAATGAACAAACATCAAGTTACATAATAAATTCTTAAACTAACAAATAAGTGATTGTAAATATTTCCCATAAAAACAAAACTGAAAAATTTATATTGTATATTTATAAGTTGATCTTGAAAGATTTCCCAACGTCAGTTGATTAATACCACATTTATTGCAAACACATTGGTGCTTGTATTATAAAATCTGACATTCTTGGACTATTGAACTGTTGTTTTTTTTTGTTTTGCTTTTGTTATTTGCACATTATTTTCAACTTATCCATTCTAAAACATTCTTTAAATATACAAGCAGCTTGAAAAGAGTACAGATTCATTTTTACATAAGACAGTTGGAAAAGAGAAAAAATATGGTAGTTAATATAACAATCATCTTGGTTTATTTCCAGAAGATCCTATTCTTAGCAATTTGGTGCTTCCATATGATATATAGGGATGATTTTTCAATCTCTTCAGAGCAAAGGAAACCCACACTATTCTATAATGCATAATGGCCTAACTTAGAGATATTTCAAGTTGTACATGTTCAATTTTCTTTCTTTCTCTTTTCAACAAAGTCTCCTCTCTATTATGTGGACATTATCAATGTTAATGTGAATATTTCTCTATTCAAATATGATATGCAATATCAGATTTTTTTACCCATCCCTTTAGATATGGCTTTCTTAATTTTCCTTGAGTTTGTCTTTCAGGGAACAATTGGTTTCTCCCTTATTTACCATATACATGGGATATTATATATATGCCCTCTTATTTACCATATATATGGGATATTATATATATGCCCTCATTAGTCAAACTGTTCTTCCACGAGAGATCAACTCTGAAAGAGAATAGATCATCTTGATATTCTAATATCCAAAAATCTTTTGGAACCAATCAGCTACTTCTGTTACATATGCTAAACTTATTGCAGCTATATCAGTGATAGTATGACATAACAGCATTTATTTTCTTATTTATTCATCATCATACACATGCAGAGATACAAGGTTTGGTGCATGTGTATATATATATATATATATATATATATAAAATAATGAATACAGAATACTTAAAAATCCATTAGATCAGGTAATAATTTATTTCATGGACTTCAAACATCCATCTATTCAGACCAGTTTTACAAAATTAAATGGAGTTCAATTTATTCAGACATAATGAAAAGGAAAAGAAGAAAAAATAACTAAGAAGAGAGAGAAAGAGAAAAAGGAAGGTTTTTTTAGGGGGAAGAGAAAGAGAGATAGACATGGGGAGGGGAAAGGGAAAGAGAGCAAGAGAGGGAAACAGAGAAAAGAGGTAATTAAGCAAGTCCACGGGGTGACCCAGAAAAGATTTTTTCTTCAGGGACTTGACAAGTTAAAAAACAGAGTAGGGGAAGGGAGTGATCATATTCAAAATAGATACATTAAAATTGTCTAGTCATTTTAAGC